AGAGAGAGAGAGAGAGAGAGAGAGAGAGAGAGAGAGAGAGAGAGAGAGAGAGAGAGAGAGAGAGAGAGAGAAGGCTTTAAGTTTTCTGTCTCTCCAGTTTCACCTTCCTTCAGAATGATCTCTGCTTTTGGCAAAGGGGGCTCTCTTATTTTCATTTGGGGGGCATTTCTGGGGTCATTTTGAGGGTCATTTTGGTCATGTATCACTGCTGAAGACATGGGTGCTCTCTACTGCCCTTTGCGGTCGGTGGTCATTTGCCATCAATACTCTGCAGGCCCAGGTTCATCGAAGAGCACATCGATTCCGGGAAGTCCAGCAGTGCACACTGCTTTCAATAAAGACAGGAGGATGTTCGGAAGATTGTTCTTATTGTCCACAATCAAGTCGATATGCCACAAGTGTAAAAGCAGAACGAATGCTGGAAGAAGACATTGTCTTGGAGGCAGCACGGAAGGTGAGGACTGCTCAGCTCGTCGTAGTTGTTGCTGGTGTTTGTCTTGGGAGAGGGGGCGGGTAGAGGGTGTGGGGTGTGGTTGGAAGTGGGGGCGAGGAGGGGGGAACAATGGAAGGTGCATGTTTGCCCTCAGTTTTCCTTTGGATGTGGGGGGCGGGGAGGGGTGCGCGCTGGGGCTTAACGTCAAACCCTGTGTTGGTTTGATGTGACATGAAAAAAAAGCCAATTCCTCTCCATCTTTTTTCTTTTTCCCTCTTTCTTCCTCTTTTTTGAAGGGAGGACAGCCTTGAGATATCATCATTGAACTGACCGGCCCCAGGTAATTTAGAATCTGATTGCATCTGGATTGGAACTTGGGTCTGTATTTCAACAGCTCAAGGGTGTACTAACTGAGTTCCTCTCTATGCCCACTTCCATCGTTGATTTTTTTTTCCCCCCCCCATTGTCACTTTTTAGTTACTCACCCTTGGAGTGGCCATCGCAGCTCGACCACTTGCCCAGCCGGGCCAAAAAATAAAATAAAATAATCTAGTTTTATGTTTTTGCAAGGACAATGAGCAAGCAAATGACTGCAATCCAAATTACAACCTCATATTCAAAGGAGGCAGAGATGCACCAATGACACACCAAAGGAAACCAAAGCACAAGAACCCAATTGTCATTGACAGCCCTCTCTTTGCCACCATCAACAATGTGTCCAACCTCTCTTCTCCCTACTGGTGCCTGGCGCCTAGACTACTATCACACAGCTCCTACACTAGCCTAAACTACAATGTTGCAACCAGAAGACTTCAGCAGCGAAACACGAAGTAAGTGCAGATGTCGCCCATGCAGACCACGACGAACCAGGTATGTCTCTCTCTTCCCCTCTACTCCTCCTTGTATCCCCCCCACACTCCCCATACTTCGAAGACCACCACACCAAACCCCGCTGACCTCCCTCAGCCTCAGGCCGGCTGTGGACGGCTAGGCTGTGGCGCTGCTTCCGTGCAGCGCCGTACACCACCTCGCGACCGTGCTTGCAAGCACCTCCCACGCGCGGCCTCGGAGCGCTCAGTCTAGCAGCACTGCCGCTCACGATGCGAGTGCCCGAATGAGGCCCCTGCTGCCAGGCACTTTCCGATATGGAAAGTGACTTGGCTCACTGGCTGCCTGGACTGGTGAGCGCGTGTGCCCAGCAGCTTCGTGTTGGGCTGAAGTGTCTGCGCCCAGGCCCAATTCAGACAGCAGCCTGGGACCGAAGCAGTTGGACACTTCAACTGTGCGACTTGGAGTGTGTCACTTGCTGCATCCTGATTGGCCAGAAGGCCTCCCACCACGTCGTGCCTGGATCCACTTGCTGTGTCCTGATTGCCCAGAAGGCTCCGGACATGCGGTTGCCTAGTGTGCTGGGCCCTCTAACCAACTTGCGCCCTGTAACTGTCTGGTGCCCTCAGGCCTTGAAAATGTTCACTTTAGGCCTCGTGGGGAAATGCAGGTCCGCATTCGCTTAGGGCGGGTACAAGGCTAGCAAAGGGGCCCCTTTTAGAACCTGCCGAGGATGGATATCCTTGCATTTTGTTTTTAATTTGGCAAAGAATTTCAATGTGACCTCGAGGCAAAACTTGCTCAAGTTATTTTTTAGCACCAAGTTTTTTTCCCGGATTTTTGATTTTTTTTTTTTTTAACAGTGACCTTCCCTGGCCCTTGCCCTGACGCTGGCGGCCTGGTTGGTAACGCAGGTTATGGCTTAATTTTCAAGGGATGGAATTGCCTCTGTGTAAAATGGGCAAGCTTGGCGCCTGCGACCTAGAAATATGCCGTTGGTCTCCCCGAGTGGCATTGAGCAGAGACTGCTGATGCTCATAGGGGGAGGGGACCGGAGGGGAGGCACAGTGACTGGCCCATCGAAGAAGCTCGGTCCTGATGCTACTGGCTGACCCCGGGCCGGTATCACCCAGCTGCTGTAGCAGCTATCGCACCTGCTGGTGGGCGCAGCTCTCGCATGTTCCCTAGTTGGAGGCTTGAGCACGGATGTGGCTGCTATGGGGTTCCCCTTATACTATAATGACAATAAAAAAGGCCTGAAAGCCCGGCCTGTCCAGATTCGACAGGTAATTGAATTGGTTGGGCTTAAGGAATTTGCCTTTTTTTTTTATAAAGAAAGTTTTGAGCACAGTGTGCTTGCCAGGGGCAAATTTGTAATTTGGTGCCCCCATTGCTTCTGTCAGAAGGGGGGAAGGGTGGGGAGCACTGTCATGAGGGACACTTCTGAAGGGTTATATCAGCAATTTCCAGAAAGTTGTTCTCTTATCTTTGTGGTAGCGCTGCATAAATTGACTGAACACAGAAATCCTCATCATGGTCACTTCTAAAGGGGTATGTCAGTAATTTCTGTCAGAAAGTTAGAGCCCAATTTTGTCATTTGTCGATAATTTCCCTTGCGTTATTTGTTTGCTGGATGTGTAGGTGGCAGATAGGGTGGGTAGTTCTAGGGTGTGAGTTAAGAGATCGAGAGGGAGGGGGGGGGGGTCATTGCAGGTGTTTAAGGGGACAGGCAGCAAAGGGAGGGGGGGGGGGGGGGGGGGGGACGCCCAGGAAATTGAACCACTACTGTATCTGAACTATTTTGTCAAATCTCCTCTGTTTCACAATAGCAAATTACCGAAAATTACCAATATACCACTCCAGGAGGGTCCCCTGTATTCTTCAAATTCTTTCCGAGTTTCCAGCCTGAGATGGCTGGCAAATGTAAAATGGACCTGCCGACCTTAGATGAGATGAGATACAGTCACAAAGTAGTCGATTCGAAGAGTGAGACTCAATGAGTCGACCAGATGCACATGCCAATTGATAATCCTCGTTGGTTCAGCTTCCATTCCACAACCCCAAGAACCACCAATGTACTGGCAATCCCACCGGTGTCTGCTAATCCTTCCCACTGTTCGGACAACGGAGGTCATAGTCGGATGCGGACCCAAGAGGACCTTAACCATCAACCTTAACCATGCAAGAGAAATCTGACGATCCCGGTCGATGGCTTCTGCAGATGAATGCCGTGCGAAGACTGAAGGAGAGGTTTTCTGTGCTGTAGCTTGCTATGGGACATCTGCATAGGTCCCATAACAAAGGTCCCATTGCAGACCTCTGCTATGGGGCCTATGGCAGCTTAGTGCAAGATGGCCGCCCTTAGAATGGCGGTTTGGTGGGAGAGATCTGAAGAATAGAGCGTTGGTCCCTTTTCTCCCTTTCTCCCCACTGCTCATTGGGTGGCTGCCTCTTTGTTTTTTGGCTCTTTAAAAGGTGCTTAGCACTGTAGCCCCTATATTATTGTATACTCGTCTGATACCATCAGGAATTGAACTCTTGATCGGTTTTACTAACAATTATATGCGTTTACAATCCAGCCATATGCGTTGCACCTTGGCTTGTGAAAGATCCACTCGACCTTTTCACATTCAGCGGCAAGTGGTGGAGCAAGACCCCAAGACTCTGAGCTCCTTTTCTGATTCGATATATTATTTGATGGAGGTGGCAGGAAATTCTCTCTGTCTCTGTCTCTGTCTCTGTCTCTGTCTTTGTCTCTGTCTCTGTCTCTGTCTCTCTCTCTCTCTCTCTCTCTCTCTCTCTCTCTCTCTCTCTCTCTCTCTCTCTCTCTCTCTCTCTGTGTCTCTCTCTCTCTGTCTCTCACCATTCTTATCCTTATGCTACTGAGTTTACAACAGCTGAGTGCTGATTTGAAGTCTCAATTTTGTTCGGTGGCATGTGTGCAGGCAAAGGAGGGTGGCAGCACCCGCTTCTGCATGGGTGCAGCGTGGCGTGACAATGTAGGGAGGAAAACAAGTTTCAACAAAATTCTGGGCTACGTAAAGGAGATAAGGTGAAGGAATGTTTTCTCCCTAGAATCCCAGATTACTATTACTAATTTACTATTATAGTATTCTTATGTTATGTTATTATTACTTTTTTAACTTATTAATAGTTATTAGAAATTTAAACCACAAGTATTGGTCGGTCTGGTACCCTTCCTCTGAAACTTGCGACTGTATCCGTGGAGGCCACGCTCTCTACGTACTGGTTTGTTCACGGCCGGTTTGATACAGCTGCCTTTTGAAGTCTTAAGCCAACAGTACCGCTGCTACCTTTGACCACTGCTGTGGCTACCAGGAGGCCTGCCCTTTTTCGGTTGGGCCATTTGATTGCCGATTCGATGGCCACAGTTCCTTCTTCCTGTCCGCATGGGACAGAGAAGATCCCACTACACCTGGAATGGGTCTACTTCTTAAGCCACCACTGTTTACTCAGTAGTGTTATCTCTTGCATCGACTATTCTTCTGCATAATCCTGACTGTCCGACAAGCAAGGGGCAAGCTGCAAAGTTGCCCTGCACTTCAACAGGGCCCTACCGAAAAAAAAGATGCATTTATTTGCCTTCTGCCCCTCAAGCAGTCAACTTGCACTGGCATGCCCTCTTGATGGAAGTTCACATTTGCGAAATATCCCTCACTTTGCCTGGGCCTGATGTCTTTTTCTTATGCCCCTATTGGTACCGGTTCAGCTTTCCCAGATGCCCTGGTATACATGGGCGTTTGGAGCTTGGAATGCAGTAGGCCTGACCGTCAGATGGGCAAGGGCATGCTGCAAAGTTGCCCTGCGCTCGGACAGAGCCCTACTGAAAACATTCCAGGTGTGAAGGGCATGCCAGTGAAAAACGGCTGTCTGAGGGGCAGAACACAAATGAATGCTAATAATAAGGTGAAGCCTAGTTTCGCCCCACCTCCCCTCACTGGTTGCACTAGATTGACGGAATTTGTGCAGAATATTATTGACATGCAGACTCATCCTGCATCTTTTTTTTTTTGGTTAAATGCCTTGGAATTTTATTATAATCGGGCCTGGTTCACTGCTTGGCCTAGGTTTAGGGAATTTGTGCATTATATTATTGTCATGCTGCACCGTGTTTTAAAAATTTGCCTGGTTGTCCTTTGCTTGTGTTTTGAGTTTTTTTTTTTTTTTTTTTTTTTAAAATTGCAAGGAAAATGAGATATAGCGAAATGACTGAAATCCAGAGTGCAAAAGTCACATTGAAAGCCAGCAAGTCCAAACGCTGTCCAGAAAGCAGTAATGCACTGATATTCCACCAACGGAGAAACAAAGGACTGAATTCGAATGTCAATGAGAGCGTACTCTCGCCACCACCAACATACGTATCCAGAGTCCTTCCTCCTACTTGGCGCTCAGCGCCCAGACTATGATCACACAGCCTACTAGCAGCCTACGAATTGACAATGCATCCTGTTAACGTTAGCAGCCAAACCGAAGTACATGAAGACGTCGACCCTCGTAGACCATCGCCAAGACCAGGTACATGCCCTCACATTCATCATCCTCGTCTCTCTCTCTCTCTCTCTCTCTCTCGACTTCATCGCCCATGTCTTCTCCCTCATGCACGAAGACCACCACCACCTCCGTTGGCCGTCCAAGCCGAGCCCGACTATGGATGGGCTGGCTATGGCGCTGCCCTCAGCAGCGCCCTGCTCACACGTACCGCACGCGCGCAACTCCCAGCACCTGGGCCAGCGCACAACCTTGGCCCCGAGCACTTAGTCTAGCAGTGCTGCCGCGTTGCACACTGGAGCCCCAATTCTCTTCCCCGGCGCCCTGCCCTTTCCTATATCGAAAGTGGTGGGCGCTTTGCCTTGCTTCCGACGTGAGACCGAGTTTCCAGTAGCTTCAGTCTCCGCCAAAGTGTCTGTGCCCAGGCCCGTTCAGGCAGTGGCCCGGGACCAAATTGGTTAGCCATGCCCAACCACCCAGGCACAAATGTCTGGTCCTGCTTACACCACGTGCCGGAAGAGCGTAGAAGGCTTACAAATAGTTTGGCTTCTCACGAGCAAGGCGGATGTAACCAACTGGTGCGTGGCAACTGTCTGGCGCCGACCAAGATTTGGAAAAATTGACGAGTTCAGGGCGCATTGAGATTCAGGGGGCCCGCCTTCACTTGGGCGGGCACGCGCCTGCTGCAGGGCCCTACGCCGATGCATAAACCCTCACACTCCCTCCTCCTTTACTTCGATAATCCTCTGAGAAGTCGTTACACAGCAGGCTGCTTCCCTTTCAAATTTCGTTCATAACTTGTGATAACTTGGGGAGCAGTCTTCATCAATTCCTCTCTGGTGAACCATCGATCTTCTTTAGGATCCGTATGATGTCTGAAACGTACTTGATACTGCATCTGCGGCATTGTAGGGCGTCCCCTGCCTGGAGGCTTGGGTACCGGCATCAGCTTGTGCTCAACAATGTCATCAATGTCAACGTGTCCGTCCATGGTTGGGGGCAGCAGTGATATTCTTGAAGGAAACTGTTCTGTTTCAGTGAAAGGTGCTAATTTGGAGGCATGGAAAACAGGGTGTCTGCGGAGGTGACCAGGGATGCGAATGACATATGGACCATCTGGTTGATATCCCATTATATCAAGAAGTTCCCAGGGACCAAAGTACTGCGGCATTAGTTTACGTAAGATTCCCAGTTCCTGGCCCAACTCAGATGACTTTACCCAGACTCGTTCACCCCTCTGAAATGCAGACCGTCTTCCGTGTTTGTTCTCAGATGCAACCATGGCATCTTGAGCTTTCTTGATGTTCTCTACAGCCTGCTGCAGCATCTGTTCGTACTTGACAGCAAACTCTATGCTACCAGGTGCTGCGGTTGGCTGATTTTCAGGCAACAGAAAGTCAAGAGCAGATCTGGGCTTCCAACCAAGATGCAGCTGGTTGGGGGTCTTACCGGTAGTGCTGGGCACAACATTGTTATACAGGCTGGCGATGAGAGAGAACTTCTCATCCCAGTCATCTTGACTTGGCTTAATATAATGCCGAAGCAAGTGCTGCACTACCCGGTTCATCTGTTCGGCCTGTCCGTTTGACTAAGGGTGGTTCCCTGATGTCATTTGCAGTCGGGTGCCCATCTGTTGGGCTGTATTTTGCCACAGTTCGCTAGTGAATCTGAGATCCCATCGCTCACAATAGACTTAGGTAGAGCGAAGTCACGTACCCAGTTGTCCCTAAATAGCTTGATGACGTGGTCAGTCCTGGCTGTCTCAGGCATACCGATTAGTCTAGCATACTTAGTGAATCTGTCCATAATGACAAAGATGTGTCGTTTACCGCTCTTGCTGGTCACAAGGGTATCCATGAAATCCCTGGACACACTTTGAGTCCTAGCTGTCTTAGGCATACTTAGTGAATCTGTCCACAATGACAAAGATGTGCCGTTTACCGCTCTTGCTGGTCACAAGGGTATCCATGATATCCATGGACACGCTTTGACCTGGGTCAGCAGGAATGGGCAAGGGCTTGATATGCCCAAGTGGTGCCTACGTCCGTGGCTTGTCACACTGACAAACCTGGCAAGTTTCTACATACTTCTTTGCATCTTCCATCATTGTGGGCCACCAAAGTTTCTGCACTAAGTTTGCAGCCGTTTTTTTATAGCCAAAATGCCCGGTTGCATCGTGACACTCTCCTATGTTACGATCCTGGTCATTTCCCAAGTGCAAGTTCACAATGAAAGACAATGCCACCCAATTGCGAAAGAAATGAAAGCACTTGCAAAGAGATAAAGACCAAAGGAGAGAGAAAGAAGAAGAAGAAGAAGAAGAAGATGTACACCAGCAAGACCAATGACAATTCCCCCGTTCTCTCTCCGCCTTCCTCCTCCTCCTTCACTTCACCAATCTCATTCTTCTCTCAATAATAATAATAACAATGGATGGATGAACCAGAATCAATATCCGAAGTTCCCTCTTACTGCTGACTCAACTCAACAACAACAACAACAACAACCAGTCCACCATAGCCATGGCTTCCCTCCTTCAGCCTCCTCTCTCATCCATAGGCTATGGCGGACTAATGAGGGCCTTGCCCTGACGTCCAAAGGACAACCCAAAGCAGCTATGGTGCTGCGCTGAWGCCCAAAGGACAACTCAAAGCAGCTATGCCGCTKCTGACTGGTCCGCCATGCSTGACCCTGCCTCGAGCTTCCTTKGTGCAGCGCTACCCCAACTGGGGCCTTYCAGATGCAGCGCCCAACAAGGTGATGAAGATGGTGTCTACCATAGCCAGGTAAGTGCCTCGCCACTCTCCTACCATGCCCCGTTCTTCCTCCTCCTCAAGCTGGACTGCTCGSCATAGCCAGGCTGAGCTCCAGCGGCCCTTCACCTCCAAGCAGCGCTRCWCCARTCCAGCGCTGTGCTCCAGCAGCATGTCGCCAATCCTTGCACACCGCAAATGAGGAAGAGCTCTTTGCTCTTCCTGGAGATATAGCGGCCTACCGGCCTCCTCGGCGGTGACTTCCTAGGCCGAGCGGCCTCCCAGCAACCGGTACCTCCTCCCTTTCGGAGGGAAACATGATTGCAGGCTCTGCTATCCTCCGTACAGGCCCTAGACCCGGGCTACTTGGACTGGTACCGGCCTACCGCTATCCTACCGCTACTGGGCCTCTAAAAATGCCAACTTTTTGTCTTCTTCTGCTCAGCCTCCAGTACCCGACACTTCTACCACTACTTCAGTGGTATCGGCCTACCTGCTACTTGAGTGTTTTTCCCCTTTGCTCTAAGTG